ATGTATATTATTATATTTATTATGTATATTATATTATTATTATTAATATATATATATATATATATATTAATTGTAAAAAACAAAGAAAAATGTATTATAAATAATAATAGATGGAAATACGTAAACGGTGAATGGGTTCCCGGTGGAAAAGCAGAAATTGCACCTCCAAATCCGATTTACGTTCATCCAGAGAGTCCAAATTTTGGTGCACACTGGATGAAAGAAGCTATATCTTTTGCCAAGGTGAAACTGACCAACAAGGCTAACGGTAACGGACAGATTATGTTAAATTCTCTACACAAATATGAACCACGAGTGCATCTGGTTCGAGTTGGTGCCGAGGAACAGAGAACTGTAAGTAATTATATTGTATACGTTTTATTTAACAAGAAAAAGTTTGCATTACGGTTTTCGTTACATTAGAATTACTCGAAATATGTTTTGTCAATATGAATATATATATATATATATATTTATGCATTTCTACGTAAATTTTATTTCAACGTCAAAAAGAAGAAAATAAAATCAAGAAAAAAGATATAACGTAATAACGTGTAAATAAGATTTTCTGATTAACATTAAAAGTCACATCCGAGTTGGAATGACGTATTGAAAAAGAAAAAATAAATAAAAATATATAATATAACACACAAGGTAAAAATAAAAAGTATATTTAATTATCGAAAAAATTATCTTATTGCATATAGGTTCTCACCTATCGTTTTCCTGAGACACAATTTATAGCAGTAACAGCATATCAAAACGAGGAAGTTACCAGTTTGAAGATCAAGTATAATCCATTTGCTAAAGCATTCTTGGATGCTAAGGAAAGACCAACGGATACTCAAACGTATCCTCAATGTAAGAGTTTAATATAAATAATAATAATAATAATAATAGGAAATAGAGAGAGGATTAAATAACATATTGTTATATGAACAAATTGTAGACTCTAGTGCTTGGTTCATACCACAACCAACTATGGGATGCGAATATAGTACAACATCCGGCATAATGGCACCACAAAATCAAACGCAAAACGTCGTTAACAATCATTTAACTCATTCTTATGCTGTTTCTACTGGTGGACGTAGGATGACACCGTATTCCTTGAGACACAAATATACTCAAGATGGTAGATAAAAAGTTTCATTAATTTATTTCTATTTTAAATATAATACAAAGATGACAATTAATTGATATTTTTGTTATTTGTATTACAGAGGAACATTTAGATCCATATGGAACTGTACCACTTTTACATTCAACTACCTACGTGACACCATCCAATTGGTCACCACGTAGTCCAGAATCTTTACAAAGTTTAAATCCGGCATGCATACCACCACCACCACCACCCTCGCAAGAATGGGCAACTTCACCCTCACCCTCGCCAACTTCTTCTTCGCATACTACCTTAGCTAGAACTGTAGTTGGAACAATGACACCTACCAGTGTTACAGGATGTACACTTTACGTTCCAGCTAGTTTACCGTGTAACTCGATGTCACAGGAACATCCACATAATTCCGATTCGTCGGCTTGGATACACTCCATGGCTTTGTCAGATCAACAACAGCAACATCATCATCAACAACAACAACAACAACAACAACAACAACACCAGCAACAGCACCAACAACAACAACAATCTTATTTAAATTTGAATTTGCATCTGCACCATCAGATGCCACCTTATACTACCGTATCACACGGCGGATTACATCACGTTTTACATCAAACCGATAACGAGACGATATCATCAGCCAATTCAACTGAATATTCGGTTCATGAATATCATCATGCACCTGTATCTCCAGTACAATCTACTACACCCGATCAACATCTACACAAGCAACAGCATCAACACAATATGCAAATGTTGCATCTTCAACAACAACCTCTTACACAAAATGAAACAACATCACCAAATGCCGGAGAATATGATGATCCTTCTAAGGAACATCATCACGTACCCGGCGTTTGTACAAATCAAACTGTAGAAACTTTAAATACTGTACAATCCGATGACGAATGTAGATGCTTGGCTGTGGTGATAGATCGTCACAATCATCATCGGCAAAACAGCCAATTGGCCAATACCGATCAACAGGCTAACGCTTGGACACCTTTAACACCACCACCAGCTCCTCAAACAACAGCTATATGATTTACTTTTGTATTAATGTACAATCGAATAACGTTTTAACACATTATCGTTGGTAAAGGTATTAATACGTTTCTGAAAAAGTTACACCAAACGATTGGTGGGGGTCGAGGTATTAATACCTTTTTGCTTAGAAACGATATGCTATACTTATTTCTCAATTTTTATTGCAAATCCTATATAATTTAGTTTTGAAGATATTATATAAATATTTTTAAAAAGCGCGAAGAGTTTTCCTACTTTCACTGATTTACGTTTGCAAAACGAGTGAGTAATGGTCGCGCTATGACTCGAAAGGATGGAATATTAAATGAAATTTATTCTTATAAAGTTATTACATATACAGGGTGTTTCGTATAAAGTTTAACACGTCAAATTGTCTTATGAATTATCTTTTTTTATTCAAAATAATTTAAGTATAAAGTTACTTCGTTTGTTTTTTTTTATACACAATATTATACATGTCAATCAATGTATTTCTTTATCCGAACCAATGACTACCCATACAATCTCTCGTCCATTCAGTTTGACATACCCAACACCATTGAAAACCACATCCGGCTCGTGTACACACCATATGCATACATCCACCTAAAAAACAAAATAATAATTATCGAGGGATTCTCGTCGGGAATAAATAAAATCGATATATTTTAATTTGATTAAAAATTATTCTTAAATTATAATAAATACCATCTCTTTCAGTAGGTGTCCTACATTTTGGACAAGGTTTAGTTAATATTTGTATAGTCTTTTTACTAGCTTCATCCCATTTAGCCTAAAATAAAAGATATGCATAAGATTCTTGGAATATTACGCAAAACCATATCTTTTTAAATAATAATTATGTAAATACATCTTTAGCCTTTTGGGGATCAATGGTGTAGCCATTAAATATAGATTTATTATTAGATGCTTCGGATGATTGTAATTCGCATTCTCCCATATGAAATCCTTGTAAACATCTTCTACAGAATACGTACTGTAAATTACAGTATAAATAATATATATATATAAATATATATATTTCATGTAATAATTGTTCCTACTATAAATGACTATTATATAGGCTATTCCGTTTAAAAATATAATTCATATATCGGCTTACACCGCAACCTGCGAAACATTGAATTTTACGGCATTCTTCTTCATTAACACCATCTTCTATAAGTGGTGGTATTATACCCATACCACAGTCTGGTCTTGGACAAAGAAATCCACCCTCCCGTAAAACATATTCCTCTGTACCAAATCGTTGATATTGTTCATACTAAATATTAATATGTATTTCAATGACTATATTCTTAACTTATATGTCATCTAATTTTTTAATTAAAATAATGTCTACCTGTTGTGAATTAAGAAGATGAAAATGATGGACTTCTGTAATAAAAGAATTGGGACATCCTGCAGGACAGGGAAGAGTATAGTAACCTTTGGTCGTGTCAAATTGAAACTGACGTTCGCGTAAACGTACAGAACAATATTCTTTAAAGCAATCAAGGCAAGTTACGTGGGCTCCTTCGCAAGGAAAAACCAATACGGTATCCCTATTGGTATATTGCTAATTCAAAATTAATTATTCACACACACATACATTCTATTTAATTATTATATAATGTTCTTAATGTATGTACCTTATATCTGTACATGCAAGACAAGGTATGCTCATGGAATTTGGCTTGATATAATAAAGCGGTACTGCCTGGTCGTCTTCACCTAAACTAATATGATTTGCACATTTGAAAAAAAATTGAGCATATAAAACTTGTAATTCTGTTTCCGCATTAGAAGATACCGATGGCTCGCATAACTCATTCTCACAATGAACCGTTATTCTTTTAGGATATAAAACATCTGGCCAACATTGCGGATCTCTGTCAACTGTAACTGCACCACTGCCACACGATGCACATTTGACTCTTAATTTTCCTGTAGTTACAGCTTTGCACGGTTTTGAACAATATACATAGAAGTGTGCTCGAGTTTCTCGTTGTTCTATTATAAATTATCATGAAAATAATATAATACAATTAGTTAATATATAAATGATTATAATAAATGTAAAATACATAGTAATAGTTACCATCCGTGGAAGAATTTGTCTGATTTGTTTCATCTAATGGCAAATCTGTAAGGGTTTCATTCATCGGTTTACTTCCACTGCTGTTGAGAGTCGAATCAAAATCAGATCCTTCTGTTGTTACCTCTTCTATAGTATTTACAGAATTTATACTCTTATTAAGTTTCTGATGATGACGATTTTGAACAGCGTGAAGAATACTTTGTTGACCTAAGTCGCATTCCTATTAACAAATATATATAAATATATTGAAAATAAGACAAAAAAGATATATATATATTAAATATCTTTTATGTTATAATATATCAATCTTCATATACCTCTATTACAGTTGAATTATGTAGTTCTTTACCAGCAAAAATAATTTTAATATCCTCTGGTGCCATACCCATTTGGGGTGCCAATATTTCTTTAACATTTTTAATATCCCATTTAGGATCTAAATCCACGGATAGAGTATTCCCAGTATTTGTTTTGATATATATACTTAACGAATTGCTAATTTTCTTTTTACCAAACCATATAAGTTCCATCATCCTAACAAATGCAGTTTTAACTAAATTAAACAAGAAACTCATAATGATAAGAATGTACACTGTACAATTTCATCACCATTACACAATCAAGAAAAATAATAAACATAATCACTTAACAATAAAGTTTAAACAAATTTATAACTATTAGACCTATCATAAATAGCTCAACATTATACAAAAGAATACAGAAATACGTATTGTACAGTTTTTTGATAGTATAGTACCATCATTGCGTTAAATCCATACTATCACCCACTGGTGGTCCCGGTAGTAACAAAAATAAAACTAGATAGATAAAAAAGGGGACTTCCGAGCTTCTATCTAAAAATACAAAAGTACATCAAATTATAATATAATATTTCAGAATTATATTAAAATATTAGGAATAATAATATAATTATATTATAATTTCTCTTATTAAAAAATAGAACAATTAACAAAAGTAACAAATTTTCCTGCCGATAATTTACCGACATATTACCTCGTCGATAATTTACCGACACATAACTTTGTCGATAATTTACCGACACATAACTTTGTCGATAATTTACCGACACATAACTTTGCCGATAATTTACCGACATATAACTTTGTCGATAACTTACCAACAGATCGTATATAAAAATAGTAGATAAAAATAACTATAATAAAAATATTAGGAAAATCTGGAAGTAAAAAAGGGTGTCATCTGTATTTGCAAAATGAGGACTATAACAAAAAAATAAATAAATAAATAAATAACAAAAAAATTCGATGTAATTATAAAAACCAGAGATTAACACACGTAGAATGCTTAATTAATTATTTTTTACAATTATGTTTAAGTACATAATAATAAAATCATTTTGAATTATAATATATTTTAAAAAATATCTATGACACAAAAGACGCATTTTACTCCCATCAAGGAGAGAGAGAAACTCTTAGAAAAAAAAATATACAAACTCTTTTTACTTAATGCTATTTCTATATGGGGTTTACATAGCTATATAGCATAAGAAATTCTATAGATCGAATTGTTATTAAAAATATATATATATATATATATATATATTTTGTTGTGTTTTTCTTTTTCTCAAGATAAATGCATGACTAGAACAAAAAAATAGTTGTAATTTTCTCCCACCGTTTAACACATACATTTGTAATGTCTCGTCTCAAGTGACTACTACACATTAATTATTTTTGTTCAAATGTTAATATTAACAATAATATATGACATAATAATGTGAACACGAGTTTGTCACAAATTCGATGTAATATAAACGATTTAATAATTGTTATTATATAATATATTAATGACAAATCAAAGTATTCAATTTGAAATGAACGTAATTAATAAAAACAAAGAGATATTATTATTATTAATATTATTATTATTTCTATTTCTATTTCTATTTCTTTTTCAATGCGCAGTTGTGCAATTATTAAGGATAACTTAAGAAATATATATATATATAATAAACGTTAATATATGAATACGAAAATTAAGAAGAGAATACATATATAACTTATAATATTTTATGAAATAAAACGCGAGAGGATATTTATTATATAAAATATCTTTGTGATATATCTCTTGATACTCTAATATAAATTATATTAATCCTTTTTATTCGAGATGTTATAAATTTTTCTTTTAGTCAATATATACGTTATATATGTTAATATGCATTTATAATCGTCAGAAATATTAAAAACTAAAATGTCTTTTTACATTAGTTCTTTTCGAGTTTAATTAAAATCAATAAAAATCAAATCTATTGAGAGATTCATAAATCTTTATATAAAAATAACGTTTACGATTAAAAAGGATTAAAACAATGGTGCGTTATTAGAAGGATTAATCTAAAAATTATTTATTATTGCATAAGGGTGATGCAATATCTTGTTTGGAATTCTTTTTTTCAATGATCCATTATTATAAAACTATTATCCCCTATTGTGCTTTTGAAACCAAATTAAATCTAAATTCAAATGAAATCCTCTCGTTTAAATGATGAAATCTAAAACAATTCTTTAAAATATTATAACTTTTCGTACTATTTCATATTATTTTATTTCTCTCTCTCTCTTTTTTTTTCTTTGTCTTTCTTTTTTTTAATTATTACCAAATATCGCAGCTTTTTCCCTAAATTGTGCGCGTCTTTCTGCCCTTTCAGCTTCCTCACGTTTTCTTTCTTCTTGTTCCATACGAATTTCATCTTCGAATTTACTCGATTTACGTAGCTGTTCGATCTGCAAATATAAATTAAAATAAAAAGAATATTAATAATAATAATTATTATTATTATTATTATATGTGAAAAACACACACACAATCGTAAAAGATTTGTTCTAGTTGATGTAGTTGTTTCTTTATTCTKTTTTATACAATTACTTTTTGTTTTTCTTTCTCTTTTTTTTCCACCCCTTTTTTTTTGTTATATTGTTACAAATAACAATAGATTAATATTCATACCTTAGCTTCGAAAAAGTTCTTGGCACCAGATACACCGACCTCATCTACGTCAACCTCGGTCAAACGAGCCAATTGTCCTAACCCAGAATCCTGTTCTAATTCACCAGCGTGTGCTTTACGATAAATCAGGAGAAACTGTAATAATTTTCTTATTAATTAACAAATATTGTTTCAATGAAATCTAACGAGAAAATATATTTACAATACTATAGAATATATTTCTAATATTATAAGAT